TCGAGCTGTGCCTCTTCTGTGTCGACCTCTGCATCTGGCTGTGCTGGTGCCTCTGACTCACCACCCTCGTCATGTTCACCTCAACCCATGCGGTTGCATGAAACTGCATCATGAAACCCATAATTACCATAGCTACCACACTGCCCCTATCATTCAACTATGAAAGGCAAAGTGACCGATAGACGCAGGAGATGCTGAAAGCAAAGCCACTGAATCAGAGTCCTTTGGAACATCTGGAACGGCAGGATCAGAATATGATACAAACCATTTCATGAAGCATTCTAAATCAGCTCGATCACAACGTCCATTGCCGAAACTCATAGGCTCCTCTGAGATGTGTTCGCTGCCTAAGGAACCGACTGCATTGCGCAAGTAATCGTTGAGTGCAGGATGATGAACTGCTTCCTGTAGCAGCACCTCAAACTTCTCTTTGGGAAGCATGTAGAGCATCCTTGCGAGCTCGTCTCTCCATTCGCACTTCGGTCTCGCTGCATAGGTGCGAAGATAGTTTGCCAGGTTTGCTAGACTACTGACATCTGATTCACTGTGCTCCCTCTTGGTAATGTACAGGGCGAAGTCTTTCAAGTCTTCAATGGGATCGTTTTCTGGAATGCCGTACTCCCACACCTCCCCGTTTTCTGCGCTGATCATCGCAACAAAACCTGGCAGCAACGGATGTTGTTGCGATCCGCTGAACAAGTGGTCGATGACATCTTCAGATGAAGAAGCCATGATTGAATCAAACATGCGCTCTTGGTCCTCATTTGGCGCCGTGCCAATCTTGATCAAAAGACTGATACATGCAACTACCGGTGGCGGCATTTGCGTCTGGGTGTTTGGGCTGCTAGGTCCTGCATCTATTGCATTCGCATGCCTCGTGGAAAGCCACCGAATGAAGCACTTCACATCCTCCAACGGATCACCCTCCTCACCACCGTACTCCCAGTCGCTTTCCACAGGCTCTGGCCCAATTTTCATTTCCTTGATGTGCTCAGGAAGCTCTGGGTGTTCCCGAGACTCTGCAATCAAAGCATCTAAAGCTGAGTCAGACATTGCCCCAAGGAGCTCCTCAAGCTTCATTGCTCGCTCTTCAACTGCAAAAAGGCCAAGACTGGGCAAGCAGCTTTGCACCGTCATTTGAGTGCTGCTCGGTTCTGTGCTGCCATCGGACGTTGGATTGGATAGCCATAGGATGAACTCACCAAGATGTGTTGCACCATCGATGAGCCAGTCAGCAGACTTCTTCGTGAGAGTCCTGTACTCGGAGAACTGTTCATGCCTCATCGCCTCGGCAATGACATTTGCCAGTTCCGACTGGGACCATGAAGCAAGAGCGCGATGCAGTATGATCTTGCGTGCATGGTTGGTTGTCTCCCTTTGGAGTCTTGGCACCAACATAGAAAGCTCTGCCTGGACGTTGATCTCTACCAACCACCCGATGAAGGTTTCAAGGTCCAAGAATCTTGTCAATTGATGACTCGCAAACTTCCACTTAGACTGCTCATTCACACCTTCCATGCGGCGCTCAAACTCGGGCATGTAAGGGTGCACATGCGCTTGATTGATCAACTCATCCTTGTCAGCATCGGATAAAAGAGCAAGCATCACACTAAGCTCCTTTTTTTGTTGACTCTCAGTGGAGTCGACTTCCCCGAGCGCAGAGAAAAGACTGTCCAGGCTTAGTGTGCTAGGCACCTTTGCCATCTTCTGCTTCACAAATTGGACAAAGTCTATGAGATCCGTTGCACTTCCAAACTCATACTCGCAATCTTTCTGACTCAAGTCATCTGGCCAGCAGGAATCTTTCATGTGACGAACGAAATGGGAGAATAGGTTGTGACGTTTGCATTCCTGAACAAGTGGCTGTAGCAGCACCAGTTTCATTTGATGTAAGTAGTCCGGCGCATCTTGATCCGCAACTAAAGTATCAAGCAGTGGCAGATTGCAATTGCTGGCTGCAGTTGATGCTGTGCTGTGTAGTTTTGGCTCTGCAGTCTCAGTCTGCAATTCTGTACCTTTCGAATCAGTACTTTGCTCTTCTTCTACAGGTACTGCCGTGCTGCAAGTGCATGCTTGTGTCTCTGCTGGCTGCAGTTCTAAACATGCCTGAGCAGTTTCTGCATTGCTACTTTGATCTGCTTGATCTTGCACTTGCTTGCTTTTCTCCTGCACACTGCCTACTTCTGGAGTTTCTTGATTGGCTCTCAGCAATGTTGGTTCTTCTTCTGTGCTTTCGCTTGCTCCAGGTGCAGCTGTGCTGTAAGTGGTGTTTGTCTTTGCTGGTTGCGATCCTACAACAGTCGGAGCAGTTTCTGCATTGCTGCTTTGATCTGCTTGATTTTGTGCCTGCTTGTTTTTCCCCTGCACGCTACCTACTTCTGGAGTTTCTTGATTGGTGCTCGGCAATGTTTGCTCGGCAATGCTCGTCTCTGCAACTGTGGGCTGCATCTCCACTGGTGCAGCTGCTTGGGTGCTCTTGTGCTGCTCAATTGCATCAGATCCTGCTTTGGCCTGCTTGGCCTCAGGAAGGCTCGGAAATGCCAACACTGATTGCTGGGGTGCTGCCCGTTTTGGTGTCGATTTTGCCTTTGTCTTTGGCTCGGCTGCTGCTTTTGCCTTTGCTTTTGCTTTTGCTTTTGGAGTTTCAGGCACATCGGGGGCCTTCCTCTTGCGGGCCATGGTACAGAATCTACAACGTGTTTATTTCAAACACCTTCAACTTCAACCCGCTTCTTTTGAACCAGAAAAGCGCAAGGAAAGTTGCTAGACAAACAGTTCACTCCCTGCTTTGGACTCTTCCTGCTTTGCTGCACTGTTCACCTTACTTTTTCTCACTTCTCAAGTTTTCTTTGTTCCCGAATCTTCCCTGCACTCAGCGCGTTTGAAGTTAAATGAATTGAAACTAAAGCTGAGAGAGTCTTACTGTGCTTCTTGGTGGGCATCATCCTGAATGCAGCCTCATCACGAAATATCACAAACCTGGACTTTACTTAACACACACACACACAGCCCTTGCCCGAAACACACTCGCCCCTGCATGCGTTTGCATGCAGTTGGTTTACCAATTGAAAAGCTGACCAAAATCCTCAAGGTCAGCAGGCAACCAAGTGCTGTTGAACAGGCTCAGTCTCAGCAAATCATGAGTCATGCAAAGCATCGGCTTTGCGCTAGCTAAAATCAGTGGTGAGTGGTGACCTATTCTTTTCTATTCTTTGAAAACAGACTTGACTAAACTCATGAATCCATGAACAAAAGAGCAAAGCACGTGCGCAAACACTAGCGCGACTACACAAATGGAACTGGTCATCGATCGCAGGTCTACCAAGCTGCATTAAAGCTCGCTTAGCTTTGCCTGCAAATCTGCTGGTAGTTCCACGCCGTGTGTTCGACAAAAATCCACGCAACCTTTAGCATTCGCTTTGGCTCCTCCAGCTTGCTTCTTAGCAGCCTGGGAGCACAAAATCTTGACAGCTGTCGCTGTGGCCATCATTGTCAATGCCTCGCGAGCAGCAATCTTGGCTGTGTCCATGTCCGGCACAAAGGATTCGGGTAGCTTCAACCTCGCACTAGTTGTCCGGGCGTTTTCGAGAGCCGATTGAATTGCCGTGCTGGTAGAAGCCAATGTAGAGATCAACTTCTGCGTGCACCTCTTGTTAAACTCTGCCAAAGACCCTGCATCATAGGTTGGAAGTTCCAGCGTCTTGAAACTGCTCACTGCGGACTCTAGATCTTTTGCCACGGTGTCCCGCAAGCTTTTCAACTCACTCGAAGCAAAGAAGATCTTGGCCACCTTACCAGTATCAGCGCAAGAAAGCATATTACGGGTAACATCAGGTATCTTAGGTAAATAATCATATATAATATAATCATATCTATCATATATAAATCAAATAATCAAATCATATCATATCAACTCAAAACTGACTCATAACTTGAATCATAACATTAACTAACCAACCAATAGCTAGCCAAGCCGAGCCGCGCAGAAATTTTGGAACTGCTCCAGTGGCACAGGAGACTCAGGTGTGGCTTCACCCTTGCTGAATACTTTGTTGTGGACAACCAGGGCGTTTTCCTTAATGATATTGGTCTTGATCTCTGTGTCTAGCAGCTTTGTCAGAGCAGCACTGTGTTCAATCGCCCCTTCTCCGAATGCATCAAGAGCCACAGCAACCTCTCCCAAGTCTGCTATGACCTTACACTCAATGATTCATAGACTCTCCCAGTTGACAAATAACAACACCTAAATTCAGCACACAATACATGGAAGGGAGGGAGACAATCTGAGTAGCTTACCGAGCAAGAGTCGACAGAGCCAGCCGTGCGTCTGAATGCTGCAGAGAGAAGAAACTTCACGGTGGAAATTGACATTCCAAGTGCTTGCTTCATGTCAACGTCCTCAATGCCTGTTGACAAGTATGAGGCCTTGTCACATTTGGCAATGGAGCTCTTCCAAGTGTCTTCATCTATGGTCTGAAATGCATGGTTGCTGTCAACCACCGATGGCGCTAAGGCGTTGCCTGCAATGCTCAAAGCATCACTGAGGCTCTTGGCATAGTAATCTTCTGAAATACGCTGGAGGCTCATGAACACCGGGATATGCATCTCATATACCTTATGCAGCTTCCCAGCGCAATTCATTTGGCCATGCACAGTGGTTAGCTTTGCCATGACTCTGCAGACATCGCTTGGATTTGCCGAATTGTCAGTCATCTTTGTAGTGAGAGTTGACATCTCTGTCATGCATTGTTTCCATTCTGTAAGCTTCTGCTTCTGCTCATCGACTAGGCGGAGGTCATCTGCTGGAAACTTAGGAAGTTGTGGCAAAAGGCTCGACCCAAGCAAGCTGCATTTTGCACTTGACAACCACGGCTTGAGATCCTTCTCCAGCCATTGTACCAAAAAGGTCTGCGCAAGTGCGTCAAGGCTTTGGATAGATTCCTGCACGGCCCATGACCAGCAGCGATATTATCTAGAATTGGCTTCAAAAACCTCCAAGGTTAAAACTGAAACAGGAACCCTAAAGAGAACTCCTCCAGCAGAGCTTTTTCGGGGATGGTGGCATACAATTTCAGAGCCAAATGGTGAGTCATGTTCAAGGAAGAAATGGCATCGTCACTATATTTGGCTTCCTTCAGATCTGCCACTTGAGATCGGATTTCATGCACCTCCTTGAGATATGCGAACTGTTCAGCACGGGCCTCTGCAGCAGCTGCGCTCAGTCCCAGCAACCGTTTGCCTTGAGCCAAAGCCTCCAAGCTAGGAAGCAAGAAGAAATTGCTGGCACCACAGCTACTGCGAGCCTTTGCAACCGCATTTGCGACATCATCCGGAAAGGCTTCCTCTGCTGACAGAAGTGTGTCAATCAGCTCAAACTCATACCGAAGCGGATCTGACATGCACTTCATCTTCAACTCTTTGACAAAGCCCCTGATGGGCTTCAATTCCTCTGCATCCGCTTGCACAGATACCTGGGGGACAAAACTTGTCGAGTTAAGTTGGGTAAAAGCAACGTGTGACATGACAACAATATGAAATACGAGTGATATGAATCATGAGTCATGAGATAAAATCAGTCTTTGACATTGAATCTCTCGGCCTTGTCCACTTTCAGGCCTTTCAACAGCTTCTGAAGCATGACTGCCATTTGTGCACCAAAGAATGCTTCAGGGGAACTCTTGAGCTTCAGAGCAATCAATGGAAAGGTCGTGGAGCAAATATCAGACCATCGCATCCAGCGCAGGTCATCGTTGAGCTTGTACTTGAGCACTCGAGCCCACAGAACATCATTGGCCGTTGCCCCATTCGCTACCTTGTTCGCAGAAAAGATAAGGACCAACTGTGGACCAACTATAAATCAAAGGAATCAAACTGCCATGACAAAGCCAAAGCCAGTTTTAAAACCACTTACTAACTTGTAATTTACATCTTTGCAAATCTTGATGAAGGTGCAAGTGAATCAAGCAGCTCAATTGCTTCATCTCCGCTGAAAGTGGCAGCACCAATCAGCTTGACAAACTTGACAGCAGTGTTCGTGAACTCTTCCAACTCTTCCAACTCCTCCAAGACTGGCTGCACAGTGTCCCCCCGACGACGCTGGCACGTCCGCTTGCGATTGCGTACATCGGACTGTAGCTTTTTGGCAGCTGCCAGCTTGGCTGTCAGGAAAGGCTTGCAATCTTTGGTGTCACTAGGAGTCTCGCTGAAATCTATCAGAGGAGTCAAACGAGTCTTGGTGTCGTTCAGCCATGATTGATCTGCCTCACTGATCCAACCATCCATTGAAGCAACAGGCTCCGCCTGTTTTACTTGTGAATCTTCGGCTGAGCCCATCTGAACATCTTCGAGACACAGTTGAGATTCTCCTTTGGTTGCCTCCAGGCTGTCAGTCATCACACGGTCTGGCTTTGAAATGGCGGCAGTTGACGAAGGCACCAATGGTGAGGAAAGCTGCCCCTTGAGAACTTCTGCCTTTGAAGAATCCACTCTCGCAATCTTGCCAGCTGGTTCTTGTGGCAGCACTTCTTTCCCGCTGTATGATTCCTTTGCAGGGGTTTGTCTGCACAGAAACGGCAGTATCTACATAAAATCATCATCCCTTGGCCTATGTATCAATGAAACATAATAATAATATCACTTGGGCTGGATGAGTTTGCTTAGGTCATCTTGGGTCCTTCCATAAGACAGTGCCAGGCGGTTGCTGGTAGAGCCACTCAAGGTCTTCTACACTGTAGCCAGAACCAGGTTGAGCTATGTCAGGCCAATACATCCGCAAGTGTTCTGGAAATGGGTTACCCTCCCAGGATGTGCTCAAGGGATAAATCAGAATGGACAGCACATCAAACTCAACGAAACATTTACACGGATAGGACCAGGACAGAAACTAATGTTAATGTTTGAAACAACTGTCCTGGGGTGAAGGAGTAGTAGCAGGCTCCAGTGCTCTCTTGTTGCCTCTCTTGGGAGCTGCCTTGGGAGCTGCCTTGGTAGCTGGCAGCTTGGGAGCAGCTGGCGGCTTGGGATGTTGCTTGGCCTTCGCCTTCGGCCTTGCCTTAGCCTGCAATGCTGGGGGCGCAAAAGAGGCCCACATAGCTAGCCTCTTGTCTCCTACATCGTCAGCACTGCCAGCAACAGATGGTTCTTGCAAAGCGTCACCTCCTCCTGAAGTTGGAAGCTGTTGTGCAGATGCTGCGCTGGAAGCTGTAGGTCCAGCTGGTGTAGCTGTAGCAGCAATAGAAGCAAGACCCATTGCACCCCCTGGGCACGGAACCGCAGGACCCCCAAGACGAAAGGCTTGCTTCATCGATGTGTCTCCACGGATGGCAGCCTGAGCTCTCTTGTAGAGGTTGTCGATGACGTCATCTCCCAACTGGATGTCCTTGTCATTCAACTCCATAGTTTTGGAAGCGCTTGTGGACGTGGTGCGGCTCTTCTTGTAGATTCCTTCAACTCCATCCTTGTAGTAGTCATGCCACACACGCCCTTGGCACAAAACCTTGGCACAGAATACCCTGAATTACCCTGACATCATTCTGTTCATATAGAATCAGGAACCCAGGCATGTATTTGTTTAATCTTCCAAAAGACACAAACCTCTACAATATCGTTTATATAGATCATTTACCCCAGGCCATTCACAACAAAATACAAGAAACAGAGACAAAAGCACACGCCCACACACGAGTCATTGCCCTGGGAATACTGCAAGCAAGAAACCACTGTCACCGCAGCCCCATCAATCATCTCTGATGACAGTTTGTCTTCAGGAACCGCACACCGTGCAAGCTCTTGAAAGACCGTTGGCAAGACACAAAACATCGCAGGCCCTTTGACTGAACTCTCTGTCTTTTGCTCCACAGTCACAAGGACGTTAGGCCCGAGTTGGTCAGCAGAACGGATGCGAATGTTTGGATTGTCAATCTTAAGATTGATGAGGTTCTCGACCTGATCAATCCACCTGGAAATGACGAGTGGCACAGAAAGTCCGTTCAACAGTAACACAATCCCACTCAATCTGACTGTCCTACCATCCTGACTGATACACACGTTCGCAGTCGAGCTGCAAATGGTGCAAGCAAGGCTGCTTAATGAACTCGGCACGGCACTTTTTGAGATTTCCATACTTGTCACTCCATCCTCCAGCCACGTGTACCTGAGATGATATGATATGATGTTATGGTAATCATGATATGATGAGATGAGATGTTCATATGATATATATATAATATTTATATAACCAAAACAAAAAAAAGCTTGACTAAACCAGTTGTTAAGATTCTGTTGTGCAAATCCGGCGTGCACAACCCTGTGGACATTCTCTGGTGCCAAGTCCCCATGGAAGAAATGGTCCCCATTTCTCCTGCGCTGCACTGCATTCGATACACAGGCAACACTGGAAACACTCAAACACAGGGATCAACACTGGAAACACTGGGTCACACTGTGCCCGACCTTATCTGCAAAATTCAAAGGCCATGGGGCTATGGTTGTGCTCCAGCGCCCACAAAACTGACACCTGATCGCAATGTATGTGGCCGGCAAAATGCCGGGAGGTGGCTCAGGAGCACTGTCGCCGCCAGTCATAGGGGTCACGGGTGTAGTCATGGTGGCGAAACCTAAATGAATCTCGGATGAAAAGCTCTGAGCACCAATAGCTCCATCCAAGTCCAGCGCTCTGAGTGTTCACCCTGCTGCCATCAAAATAAGGCCTAGTTTTTAAACAAATAAGCCTTATTTTTGGAAAACTAGACCTTATTTTGGTGGCAGCC